ACTTAATTGCACTAAATTTTCTAAGGTGGGACCGGTCTTCAAAAATAGATCAAGCGAACCATAAAAAGACATTATTATAGTGTACATAATGGATCTTCGTTAAAAAGTGTATCTGACATGCTTACATGTTCATTCGTGATTAAGGGGGTATTTGGATGGAAATCAAACTATAGTTTCAAAAGTGATTTACAGTATACGAAGTAAATATATGGAGGAGTTTATCTCGATTTGCTGAAAAGTATTTTTCAAAAGCACTCCTCATGCCATCCAAACACCCCCTAAAACTAGTCTCCCTAAGTTCATAGGTTCCTTAATATATTCTCATATATGGCTCCTGTCCTGTAGGTTGCCTACTGATGTTCATCACAAGAGGAAGGCACCTGAGAAAGAAACATTCTCCAATGACTCTGAATCTCAAATGGCTCTACTCTGATCCAAATCAGGGACCAGAAGAGATGAGACTAATTTAGTGAAGTTATAGTTGTGCACAGTAAGAGTTTAGGCTACAGGTGAAAGGTAGGATCCCTAGGTGACCCCTAAAAGGAAAAAAGAACTCGTAGAAAGTAGATTTTGGCTCTTCCCTTGTAGGAAATTGATTCGCAGGATGCAGAATTTTTCTTCCCCGTTTTTTTAACCAAATTTGGGTGTAATGAGCTGGGAAAAATGAAAATCATGAACCTTGTTTTTGAAAGATCCCAGGAAGAGAATGATGCTTTTAGCTTTTAGGCTTAATTTTATCATCCAATGTTCATTTTTCATTGTCTTCTTCCTTTCTCCTTGGTCATTTATTATAGTTGGAAGCTTAGATGCAGCTGCATAAATCGGCATTGCGGAGATAAAAGGGTTACTTATCAATGGAATTTTAAATCATCCTTGGAAGTGTTATTCAACAGATACCTTGTGAAGCTAAATCTGTCACCTCCTCACCCTCTGGGAGATTGAAAAGAAAGAGTTTCTTAGCTAATGGGTTGAATTTCTTAACAAAGATTTTTTTCTTCGTAAACTTGGAATTAGATTAAATTAATCATTAGTAAACATGAGATTACATTACTGTATTTAGAAGAGTTATATTTAATTTTTGTTTTCTAATCAGATAATTGATGAGAAATTTATTTAAAGCATGTTTGGTCTTTGGATGCATGTTGCCAAGTAGGGCAGGTCATGAAGCACAAGGTCCCCCCCCCCCCCAAAAAAAAAAACGTAATGAAAATATTTCCAGCCCTACCCACTTTTTTCATGATTTGGCTTGGATAACATATTTCAATTTTTGGGCTGGACAGGTAGCCATTTAAGCCTTCAAGCACATTTAAAAGTGTGCCCGTGCCTCAAACACAATAAATAAAAAATCAGACTGGATATTAAACTGATAGAAATAGTAGTTTAAGAGTTATGTGATCAAACCAGAATCAACTCAGAGTCAAATCAGTCATATTAAAATAAAATAATTTACTTGAAAATAATAAAATACAATAACATCAATAATCATTAATAATAAAATACTAAGAAATACAACAATAATTTGGTTGTAATAAGATCAAAGTATAATAACATTAAGAGTTTTGATCTTTACAATTCATTAATAACTAAAATTAATAATTATTGATACCAAAATCACTACTAAAATTCATTCAAATTTATAGTAACTGAGATATTAAGAGTTGAACGGAAAAAAAAAAGGATCAATAGCAATATAATCATTTAAATTAGTTCATCATCAATTCACATAAGTTTTTATTAGTTTTCACCGGTTCACACTGATTTCATTGGCTCAATATCAGTTTAACTTGATCAATTCATTGCCTAAACCGGAACCAGCCGATTCAGTCTGATTTTGTTATTCTATAAGGGGGTTTGTTGTGGCTCCATTGACCAAAAAAGGATAATTTGTTTTCTTTGGATGAAAAAAGACAATTAATAATTATATTTATAAGATTTTTTTAAAAAAAGAATGTTAACAATAAAAATTTATCTTCTTTTCTTTTATACAAAAAAATTTAGACGGGTTGGGTTTCAAGAGTCGGCTTTTGTCTTTTGAACATAAATTGGGCTTTTTCTGGTTACACATAGATATACTCCTATTAAAGATAATCTTGTTTGAGAATAGAACAAAAAATCAGATTGAATTGGCCGATTTAATTGGAAAACCAGTGAATCATCCAGTGGTATCGAATTAGTCAAGAGCTGAGCTAGTATCAAATCAGTTTTTAGCTCTTGACCGATTCACTATGTAAACCAAAACTGCTCAGTTTAGTTTGATTTTTTTGTTCTGAGGGGAAGTTGTCGTGACTCCATTGAACAAAAAAGGACAATCTTTTTTTTTTAATAAAAAAGGACAATTAATAATTATATTTATAAGATTTTTTTTAAAAAAGAATGTTAATAATAAAAATTTAGGCGGATTGAGTCTCAAGAGTCGGTTCTTGTCTTGAACATGAATTGAGACTTTTTTTGTTTACACGTAGATATCTTCCTATTAAAGATAATCTTATTTAAGCAAAGAACAAAAAATCAGACCGAACTGGCCAGTTCACTTGTTTTAAACCAGTTAAGAGGTGAACCGATATCGAACCAATTAAACTGGCATGAACTAGTAAAAATTGATGATGAACTAGTTTGAATTATTATGTTGCTATTGATAGAGACAGGAATAATAGGGCCAACGGGTTTAAACGAGCCAATCCTACAAGGTTAAAATTTCAAAAATACTCTAATTTGTTAAGCTCGTTTGTTGACGGGCTTAATGCCAGCCCACAGGCTTTTAGCTCGTTTAGAAAAAATATTATTTTCCATATTTATTATATTTTTTAGTCAAAAAATGGAAACAAACTAATGAAATTATTAATAAAATATATAAATGTGAATAAAATTAAGTTACAAATACAAAACATTACTATATCTAAAGATCTATCAACATCCGAGAATATCTAAAACATCTATCAACCAGACAACAACATTCAAAAGTTTTATGAGTAGTGCAAATGTGTAATAAACAAATACTATTATTAATTTTTTAAAATTTCATCATCACTATAATCAATTGCTCTTCTTCATGAGTATGCTCTTTTTTCTTAGTAAAAATATCAAGTTTTTCTTCTTTATAGGAATTTTACTTTTAAATTTTACACTCTAACTATTATTTTACTTTAGTTTGACAAGTATTTGTTGAAACTCATAAATTTTTAATTCAAATTATAGAATAACAAGTAATATAAATATAAAAATACTCTCTTATCAAATATATATAGTTTTAAAATATCAACACATATATTATAAATCAAATCATTATTAAATTTCAAATTAACCCATTTTTTTAAAATTTAACTAGATAAATTATTGTCTAAAACCAAATAAATCAAATCATTTTGTGAAATTTAATTTCAAAATGATAATATTTAAAGTATCATTAACAATGTAAAAAAAATTAATAATATTAAAATTACAAAAAAAATTTGAAAAACAAAAAAATATAAAACGGCCTAAATGGCTGATTCTCGGCCCTGCAAGGCTAGTTTTTTTAAACCCTCGGTCCTATAGGGCCAACCCTTTTAAGCCCAACCCTCACAATTTTTGAGCCTAAATGAGCAGCCTTGACAAGCTCGACCCATTTTCCTCGCTCTAGTTATTGATCCTATTTTTTCTTATTTAACTCCCACTATCTCAATTACTATATATTTGAATGGATTTTAGTAGTGATTTTGGTATCAATAATTATTAATTTTAGTTATTAATGAATTGTAAAAATCAAAACTCTCAATGTTGTTGTATTTTGTTATTGTTACAATCAAACTATTATTATATTTTCTTATATTTGTTATTAGTGATTATTAATATTATTGTATTTTGTTATTTTTAATTAAATTATTTTATTTTAATATGACCAGTTTGACCCCGAGTTGATGTCAATCCAACAAACTAAGTCTTGAACCACTACCTCAACCAGTTTGTGTTCAGTCCAATTTTTTGTCTTGAGAGGCCAGTCCTGCCCAATGAAAAAAACACCGGATCGAACCAGTCGACTCAACCAAAAAATCAATGAACTGGCCAGTGATTTGGTTTGACGTAATCAATGAAGTAGCTACAATTCAAACCGATGGCAAACTGGTAAAAACTAACGTGAACCGGTTTAGATAATTATATTATTATTGATTCTATTTTCTCTGTTTTAGCTTCTAATATCTCAATAATTATGAATTTTAATAATAATTTTAGTATCAATAATTATTAATTTTGGTCATTAAGTAATTATAGAAATCAAAATTCTTAATATTATTACACTTTGTTATTGTTATAATCAAATTATTGTATTTTCTTATATTTTGTTGTTAGTGATTAGCATTGTTGTTATATTTTTTTAATTAAATTGTATTATTTTAATATGACAAGTTGAATCTTGACCTGACTCGTTAATTTTTAAACCACTACATCAGTTTAACTATCTTTATTTTTTTCTCCCCCGATCCCACCCCATATGCTGAAAAGCTCTCTCTGATCAGGGACCGGGGGTCAAGCAGCACGAACGGCCAAGATCTGTTGCAATGTTAACCGCTGAGATACTTCCTCAGTTGTCACGAATTAAAACGCTGCGTTTGAAAGGACGGCACCGGTAGCTTTCCTGAAACGCGGAACACGTCATCACCAGACGAATAATAGTAGCATAGTAATATAATAATACTGACACGGCAGGCTCATAGGGGCCCGATCAACCTACCAAGCAACTAGTAGACTACTATTCATTGTCAACACCTTAACGCGTAGAAATTAATCTTTTTGAAAAGATATAGGTAGCCAAAGCCAATTTCTTTTGAAAAATCATATATTCTTCAAAGATAAGTACAAAATCACTGTACTACTATTACGCAAAGAAATTACAAAATATTTACATATATTATTATTAGCATTACTAACATCAATACACCCAAAGGACAAAGACCCTTTAAAAAAGAAAAAAACTAAAAAAAAAAAAAACATAATCCTGCCAATCTTGAACGGTAAAATTCAGATCAAGCAACGGATTTTTTCCTAGGTGATCGGTCTCTGAATCTGAAGCAGTCAATCAATTCGTTTCTCTGTGTCATGACCTTGTTAAACATATCATCAACCTCCTTGCTCAGATCGTCCAGTCCTTTCTGGAACGAATCCACCTTCTTTTGTAACTCCAGGGCCGCATCATCTTTCGCAGCATCTTCAGAGTCGGAAGCAGCAAGAAGATCACCCACAGCATCGTTGATCTCTTTCACCTCCTTCAAAACCGGGAGTTTCTCACCGATTTTTGAATCTAGTGGGAGAAGAACCGAGCGAGATCCAGGAAACACGCATGATTTTTTCCTGATTTCCATATACGAGCCGGCATCGCCGGCTACAGCTGAGAGAACAATTCCACACACCCAGAATCCTACACTTCTTAGCTCACTAATAGCCTCTCCAAGAACCCTTTCTTTCCCAGAGAAATCCTTTGATTTCTCACTTCCACTGCTAAATCCACCCTCCAAATTGTGGGTAATCTTGTTATGATTCTTGCCAGAACCGATTTCAATTCCCTTCAGATGATCTTTCGCGGAAGAAGCCGATTTCTTGAGCTTAATCAACCCAAAAGACAGAGAAAGCCGAGATTGACCGATGTGAGAGAGAGAAGAAGAAATTACATTAAAAAGCTGAAGCAAACCCAAGCAGTAGTTGAGATACCCTTCGATAGAATCAGAGCTCCACTTACTGATCGGATAATCGATATCAACAGCCAGATTCGCAAACGCCTTGTGGGCAGCCGGTAACAGCCCAAAGCACTTGTTGATCCAGGACAAAGAAAGGTTCGGAGGGGAGGGATTTCCCAAACTGAACCCTAATTGCGTGACCAACTTGGAAATCTGGGACCGAAAATCCTGCAGAGAAGCAGAGAGAGCAAGTTCCTCCTGTGAATCATGACGAAGAGGAGGGGTTTGCTTCTGAAACCTGGCGAATTTCTGAAGCAACAGTGCCATCGGAGATAAGCAAAACACGAAACGAAGATTAGAGAGGAAGGGACGAGGTTTGAATGTTTGGTTGCTAAGGTTGGAGAGAGAGGGTGAGGATTAGGTTTTATATAAACGTTAAAAGGACGGAGGAAAAGGAAAAGTCAGAAACAAGGGGTGTGGCTTTTTGGTAGGGAGGTAGTCAAATCAGTCGACTCGGTTTTGCGTTAACGCTGGGGACACGTTGTTCTTGATCTCGACCGCATCGCCGAAAGTGGGTCCACGTGCAGAACCCGCAGGTTCCGGGAAGGAGAAGTTCGTGAGGGGGAACAATCTAGAGAGAGAAAATGTGTCTCCCTCTGTCTCTCTAGATTTTTTCATATACGACGGTAAAACATAAAATATCTTTGAAGCCCCGTGATGAAATTAATAATTAATCATCTAGATTTTTCCCATGAATTCAACGGTAGAATTATAAAATATCTTACACAGTAAACAAAATTAAAAAATATATATAAACGTACGTAAGGTTACTTATTCCCTTTGGGAAATTATTGTGATGGATTATAAAAGATCTCAAATATCCAAAATTATTTTGAAAGACTAAGGTCTTTATTATTTGCAAAAGAAGAAAATCATAAGCATAGTGACCAATTCATTCCTTACGAAGTGTTTAGGTGAAACCAAATTATAGTTTTAAAAATAATTTTATAATATACAAAGTAAATATATAAAATAAGTTTTATCATAGGGACAATTGCACTAAGGTCCCATACATCACAAAATACAATAAAAAAGTCCCACCAAATTCAGTAATGCCTTAAAAGTCCTAAAAGGACCTGATTGCATTAACAGAAAAGATGAAAATACTCTATTGTCCTTAGCTAATAGAAACACTAGATCTTATCAGGTTTTTTCCTTCCCTACCATTCTCCCCTTTTCTGTCGATGTGCAGAGGGAAGGGGAAAACCTGATAAGATTTAGTGTTTCTATTAGCTAAGGGCAATAGAGTATTTTTATCTTTTCTGTTAATGCAATCAGGTTCCTTTGGAACTTTTAAGGCATTACTGAATTTGAATTTGATGAGACTTTTTTGTTGTATTTTGTGATGTATGGGACCTCAGTGCAGTTGTCCCTTTATCTTAATTGGTGTGAAATCATTTGGCAAAAATGCTTTTTCTGCCAACGAAACACCCTTTAAATCAATAAAAGCAAAACCTATCAATATTGAGGATGAGCAATGCTAAATACTCTAAATTAAGTTGCTGCCCATGTTGAAGTGCGTGACAAAGCTGTTTCTAAACCACAAATCTTCGCACTTACGAACAATTCACATTTCACAATGTCCAAAGTTACGTTTTGCACTCAAAACGTGAATCCAAACAAGACGGAACCGAAACAGAGCAAAAGCCAAAGGGGTGACGTGACGGCTTTACTAATAATCTCTCGATTCTTTATTATAAGAGATATTTGATTCGTATGACATGTTTCTATATATAATAGACATTTAAAAATTGTTTCTATTTTTTTGTATTGATTTTCCATTTTATCCCTATTTATTTTGTCTCCAACTCATACTCTCTCTCCCTCTCATTTCTCTTTCTTTTAATAATTTAATTGTTCTCTCTCATACTCTCTCTCCTTATTAACAGGGGCATTGTTGGAAAAAAATATTATACTTTTTACACATTAATTGTTCTCAACTAATTTTAACTGTTTTTTATCAACGTAATTTGATTATTTGTCTCTTATATCAACGTAATTTGATTATTTGTCTCTTATACTAAAGAACAGAGGGAGTATTTGATCATATTTCGGGGGTCTTATTTTTCAAGCCATTCATCTATGGTTCTTGGGATGTTAGAAGTTGAGGAAGTGAGGGCTTGGTGATTTTGATTGTTAGTCATTTTTCACCTGTTCATTTGGATTTAAATAATTTAGAAAAGACCAGATTAAGTGTCCCGTTTGTTTAGATTCATCCCACTCCATTATATGATTAGGAAAGGAATATTTGAGACTAGGTTTTTGTATGAAAGTGTTGGGTTTTTAAGCATGTTCAAAATTAAAAATAATTCTCCTAAGATGTGTTGCACGCAATTTACCCTTGGAGTGTTTAAATAAATTCAGATAATTTTTGTCAATAAAGTTTACCACGAGAGTTTTCAGTAATTTTCCCATAACTTAATCACACATATAAATATACATATATAGGGAAAACGGTAAATAAACATCCTCAAAAAAATAAAAATAAAAATAATAAAAAAGACCGTCAATAAAAAAAATTACACACAAGGACTGATTTATAAAAATTATTATTAAAACTTATATTACTGTTATCAAAATACATACTGATATCATCATGGGTCTTTATTTATAATTTTTTTATTTTCATGGTCTTTTTCTGTTATTTTCCCAATATAAAATTGCGATTTGGAAAAAAGGGTGGGGAACGTATCACGCATGGTAGGAAATGAGCAGTGACTCAACGGATAGTGCGCTTCGGCCAAAAAAAAAAAATAAAACGGATAGTGCGCAGATAAGGACAATATGATGCGCCAGCTGTCGTTTGTCCATTTGTGAGGGGCAGGCATAGATGGCACAGAAGCGGGATCATAAGAGCAAGGGCAAAACAGTGATTTCGATGGTTGCTCAGGGACGCGAAGGTCAATGGGCGCATAATCATGTTGCGGGTGTGAAGTGTGAACTGCGTCATCATCGTCAATTTAACATTTAACAAATCAATAATCAATTCTATTAGTTTAATATTTAACTTGGTTTTAAACATTACATCTTAATTTATTTTATTTTTTATATTTATTTATTTTTAAGATAGTTTTTCTAGTAACCACATGTATTAAAAATTTCATTAAATAATATTTTTAAGTAATACACATGATTAATAATGATATTTTAGGAGAGATAACACTGATTTTTTTTTTGAGTAAGCAAGACCGATTTTATTACAAATAACTAATTTAACTAATTTTGTTAATCTAACTAAATTAGTCAATTAATTTTTATATTGAAGACCACAAAACGGAGGTAGTATTAAGCAATAGTTGGCAAAAAATAAAAATATTATCAATAGCAAAAATAAATAATATTTTTTAGGGGGGAAAAAAGGAAGGAAAGAGATGCTAGTTCAATGTTTGGCAACTTGTAGGGTGGATAACTCATAACAGGATAAGCATGCCGGGTTGCTTCCCTGAACATGCTATTCCAGTTTCAGTGCACCCAAATCCGAACTGGGATTATGTTCCCCCAATGCCAGTTTGGTTCTTCTGTATTCCTCTCCTATTTTATTTGTAGCCGCCCCTTCTGCGCTTTCATAGTTTCCTCCTAAGCCAATATTTTTTTATTATTTATATATCACTTCTAACATGAGATACGAACATATTTTGTGTTTGTTAACATTTTGAATTGTGAAATCAATAAGAATAATATTAAAAAATGAGTGATGGAGATAAAATATATAAGATCCTATTTATTTAGGGACAAACCACGCTCATCAGCTATATCTAATATTTAAGACTAATTAAATCCGGATCAGATCGCATGTTGGGATATGGGATTTGGGATCTATTTAAGCTATCAAATTGATCCACCAACCCAAAATAAATATTAAAAAAAGGAAGAGGAAGAAACAAATAACAATTAACAAAGAACTAAAATTGACATAAAACTTCAAAATGACAACATTCAATCATTCAAACAAAACGAGTAAGGAGAATAAGAACATCTGAAACATATTGATGGGCCTGAAATGAGTGCTTTGACTTCCACCTCGTCAAGTTAGCGCGGCAACTCTTACATGCGAACCAGCACGCGTTGCTGACAACTGGTAAGGGAGTTGTGTCCCTTAACCATCGCTTCTGGGATTCGATTCCTGGAGGGATGGGAATGGAGCAAACGTGCTGGGAGAGTCGGCCCTATTTTGGGCTCGACAGTACCCGAGAAATTAATCATTGGGCTCGCTCTGATAGATACCCTGGTGAAAACCAAAAAAAACTCTTATATGCGAAGTTTTTGTTCATTTCTCACTCTTTTTTTATTATTAAAAATATAATAAATCTAATATCTCGTGCCACATGGTAATATTTACACCTTATCCACAATAAGATTGGAATTCCTTGTTCCTACTTCCAAGGAATCATATTCCTGCGCTCATCTTTTTCTTTTTCCAAAAAAAAGGGGTTGGTCAACAATGACTAGAGGAAACATCAATTAAGATATGATGCTATCAAAATTTATTAATATGTTATTTATAATAATAATTGAGGCCAAAAATTCTTATTGGACCCAAAGCCAATGGGCTGAGTACAGTAAATTGTGGCCCATTCACAGAAACAATGATGAATGAATAAAGCCCACGTGTGACAGAAGTGGGTTCGTTATTGAGCTGACATTACAATGCGGTCATCACTGGATATTCTAGGAAGTCCAACATTTTGATCCAACTCTTGTGAAATTATATTACGTGACATTTACTAATAGAGGTTAAGTTTAATGGAAAGGGTTAGTGTGTCATAATATAATAAATAAATGTTCAAATTTTTACTAAGAGAGATATTTATATTTAGTGCCGGACAATGCTTCTAATATATAAATACCCATACTTACCAAAAAAAAAATATTATGTGACATTTCAGCTAATGTGTGAGACTTTTGTCTAAGATGAATAAAAGTTAGGTTACAAAATAGTACTGCCTCCGGTATATAAGAGTTAAACAACTAATTTAAAGAGATTACAAAAATTAGTTAAGTTGGTTATTTTTAATAAATGTATGTTGACTCCCCTAAATTACCCTTACTCAATCATTTACATTAAAACTACGTTTGAGTGAAAATACCTTACAATTAATAGGGATATTTTTGAGAGCACATTATGAATTTGAAAGATAAAGTGGATTAAAATCTTATATTTAAGATCATGAACTAATTCTTATATTTAGGACCAGAGATAGTATTAATTTAATGATATAGTTTAATTTAATGATATAGTTTCTCAATTAGAGCATGTGCAAATGAAA